TGGGGGGAGCCACGGGGGGGGGATTCCGAGGAGTTCAGAATGTGCCCTTGGACATTTCCACTCTGGCTCTCAGCACTGCCCTTCTGCTCCTACATCCCAGAAGTCTCTTGCAGCTCCCCAAACTTGTTTGTCCCCAGGATGTATGTGTAGTATTCTCAGGCCTGGGCTGGCCCTGGGCATGAACTCAAGAGCCCAAGGCCAAGGGGATGGGGAAGATGGCAGGAAAGTTAGAAGTCTATGTTCCCTTAATTGTCTTGTTGTTTATTTTATCCAAGTACCCCAGTGAATAGGGGAAAAATAAACACGGTGGAAAAAAATCAAATAGTGGAGTCTTCTTTAGTGCCAGTCCTTGTGGTTTAATAAAAAGGATGGTCCGCTTTCTATTGAGCTGAGAAATCTTTGAAGTGGGAGTTATTATCTGAGACATTCCTGCTTGTCGTCCTAACAACGCTGATGAAACGTAAAAGGTTCTTTGTCAGCGATTTGTTCTCCTCTCTGTCAAACTCCCTCTGCCCCACTAGTTTCAAACCGTTTCTAAAGAGATAAAATCAAACTTCTTAAAAAACTTCTTTAAAAAAAAAATACCATGCACTACACCAATAGATAACTTTAGGGCTAAGTCTTGCTAAGGGAAAACAAAAGCAGTGCCTAGATATCAGGGTCAGGGCCTGGTGAAGTGTGCAGATGTTGGGGGACCCTTTGCACAAGCTCTAGGACATGGGGAAAAGAATGCATAGAAAGTGTGGGCAGAGGGTTCATACCCCAAGTAAACTGTGCATCTGCTTCTTTTTACTTGGGCTTGCACTCAGTCAGCCCAAGTCAGGTCACGTGAATGAGCTTCCTTTGGAGAGTCCTCAGGCTTCCAATATTTTTGCCCAGGATCCTTGGAACTTAAGGCTGCAGCCAAGTTATTGTTAATATTTCCTGCTCCTCCAAAGGCACCTCTGCTAAAACTAGGCACATTTTGTATCTCTTCCCACTGGCAGCAATCAGCAAGCTCATGCTATTATTAATAGAAAGGAGAGTGTCTTGAGGGAGAGATACATTTTAATAATTTCCTGTTTTCATTAGAATCTTGGCAATTGGAGTTGAAAAGTTTTGGTATACAGGATAGTGACTCCAAAGCGCATGCAAACGCCCATCCTCCCCCCATCCTCGTGTGCAGTTCTTCATTTTATATTCAGAAAAGAAACTTTCACACTGTTCAGGCTTTCCCAAACTCCTGTGTGGTTTTAAAGGTGGTTTGAATAAACAAGGATGTGCCGGTCCCCCACCCGATGTGTGTACTGACTAAATGATATTTGTAAAGAAGTGTCCCCAAGCTGTAACCCATGCTGTTGTTACAGTTGCTGTGAAATGTTGTCTCTTATATTGATTTTATTTGTTTATTGGAGGTCTCCATATGTTTGTTTATATCGTTAATTTATGGGAAAATGTAATGATTGCAGTGAATGTGAATTATATACAGACAGGCAAACATTTTGTAATCATAATTCACACACACAAAAAGGCCTGACTGAAACCTTATACATTTTGGTACCCTCTCTATCCACAGTGTTTTGTGATTTATTACCTGTCTCCTTAGCGTCAGTTAAATTATGAACTAACTTCAAAGAAAAAAAAAGTCGTTATGTATTTGACTGAAACTGATTGTTGAATGAAAAACAAAAGTTGAAAGCCACGGTTTAATCTTGTTGTAAATATGTAAATGTAACTGAAATAAAATCTGTGATTCATTTTCCCTCTAAAGAACTTTGTGTACATGGAGTTCCATTTTGCTATTTTCTTTGGAAATAAATGATGTGACGTTTCCCTCCCTCTTCTGAATCTGGGTGTCCTGTTTTTTGCTTTATCATCCTGGGAGAGATTTGGGGCCCTCCCGCAGCCTTCAGTCCTGTCCGACTTCACAGAAACCTCTCTGGGGCCTACTCATTCGGGACAGCAAAGTTGGAGGGACACGGCAAAGCCGCCATCGTGGGAGAGACCTCCCACGCACCAATTTCGCCCCAATGACACTGACATTAAAAAACAAAAGTTGAAAGCCACGGTTTAATCTTGTTGTAAATATGTAAATGTAACTGAAATAAAATCTGTGATTCATTTTCCCTCTAAAGACCTTTGTGTACATGGAGTTCCATTTTGCTATTTTCTTTGGAAATAAATGATGTGACGTTTCCCTCCCTCTTCTGAATTTGGGTGTCCTGTTTTTTGCTTTATCATCCTGGGAGAGATTTGGGGCCCTCCCGCAGCCTTCAGTCCTCTCCGACTTCACAGAAACCTCTCTGGGGCCTACTCATTCGGGACAGCATAGTTGGAGGGACACGGCAAAGCCGCCATCGTGGGAGAGACCTCCCACGCACCAATTTCGCCCCAATGACACTGACATTATCAGCCGGTTCACATCACAGAAGAGGAAAAGTTAAAACGATGCTCTCAGTGTCTGCCGGGAAAGGGTGCAGCTTCTCACAAACCACGTCTGAATTTTCAAAGAAAAGCCTGGTAGGTGGCGGGAACCAAAACAAGGAGAGAAAAAGAGAGGGCGGGTGGCTCCCGGCACTGACTAAGCTCTGACGGAGTGTCGCAGGCACACTTGCCCGCAGGGATCTTCCGAGCTGGATCCCGCCCCTTTGGGAGCATTGATTGCCCAGGTCTGCGGGCTGGGGGCACAGCCCCCACGACCTCCCCGGCCCCCATGGGGATCGTTGATGGGTTTTAGCATCTGATGCGTGCGCCCTCTTACCTTGCCCTGCCTCTGAGGAGCTTATTTCAAATGTATCAGCATCTCTAGCGTCATCCTCCTTCCTCCACTGAGGTCACTGCGTCTCTAGACACGCGCGTCCTTTCTCCCCCCGCGCCTACTGTGTAGGCGCGACATCAGCGAGCCATTTACCTGGTCCTTTCTGAGCTTCTGAGTAGTCGGTTCCTGTGGGCCTGGACAGGGCCAGGGCTGGACGGAGCGGGAGGAAGATGGCTCCCGGGATGGGAATGCTAGGTCTACTTAGAAAACACCTTGGAGAACCAGCACTCAGGGCTAGGCCTGCAGTCCTGAAGAGAGCACTGGGGAAGGAACCCAGAGCACACGCGGGAGGGCGACGCGTGGGTGTGAAGGTGGAGACCACCAGGGAAACCAAGACGTGCCCGAGTCGGTGGGGGCCCGGGAGGAGTAGGTGCATGAGCGTTAGTATTAGCGCCCCCTAATGCTGGTAAAACCAGTTAATAGCGCCCCTTAATGACTGGAATTAGCGCCCCCTCCCGTCCCTCGCGCAGAAGGTCCCCCCTCCTCCGATTCAGGGACAGGTTAGAAGGGCGTCTCCTGTTGCTTCAATCTCCTCGACCCGGCCTCTTAAACGAGGGAGAGCACTCATTAAAGCCCTGTCACCGTCAGAAGCATTGTCGTGGGGAGCAACTGGGGATTAGGAATAAACACGGCACCTCCAGCCAGGGCTGTTCGGGGCTCGGGACACTGCCCCCGCCCCGCGGCCTGGCGAGCCCACAGCTGCTCCTGCCTGGGGCTCCGAGGAGACCCCCA